CCCCCCCGCCACGAGTGCACAAATTTTTGTGCACTGGGCCTCTAGTATATATATAAAAGCCTAAGTGACTGAACGACTGGTCAGTATGATGTATGATGTGCACTGAACATCAGGGGGCAGATGCTCAACACAGGAGCTGCCCCCTGGTGGTCAGTGTGCTCCCACAGCAAGAGCACCACTCAGCTGATAGATGGGGGCCAGACGCCAGGCTCATGGCTGGTGAGCGCAGCTGCAGCAGCTGCAAGCCTCTCCCACCTCTACGACAGCGCTAACAAGCAGTGGCGGCAGGTCAGCAGGGCCGGAATGTGCAGGAGCAGTGTGGCACCCGGGCTTGGGCTCCTCCCCGGAGTGCCAGTTTCAGCCACATCCCCCAGGTGGCCTGCAGGGATCGGGCCAAAACCAGCAGTCCGACATCCCCCGAGGGGTCCCATATTGCAAGAGAGCACAGGCCGGGCTGAGGGACCTCACCAGTGCACACATCCATGTACCGGGCCTCCAGTATTTAAATAAGGGTTTCCTTACTTAAGAAATGGACCACGGGCACATACCAGATCCGGATCCAGAGGCGGTCACATCATAAATCAGATCTTTCAGAGTTTTCCCAGCATTTACCAGGTTGCATTCAGAGAGTGGTTCCTCCACATTCTGCCTCTTTTTTTTCCTGTTGCTACACTGTCGACCTTGGCATGCCCAGATGCTCAGCACTGCTGCCATGGACAGCAGGCACACTGGCACAGTAATAACAACGGTCAGCTCCATGGGTCCGAGTTTGGGGGCATTTGGTGAGGCTGCGGTTTAAAAAGAACATGACCATCAATCAACCCATTTAAAATATTTTAGAAATTAGAAATGTGATCACCAATATTTCACATCAATAATGTGCAGTGTACACTGATGACAGTTGACAAAGGCTTGCTGTGTTGTATACAAGGATGGGAAAGGAGGCTGGGGTCAGGCTACAGCTAGGAATAGCTATGCCAGGTGCCAATGGAGACAGAATTAGGACCACGGAAAGCACTCACACGGGGGATTCTTCCTTTCTTTCTTTCTTTCTTTCTTTCTTTCTTTCTTTCTTCCTTCCTTTCCTTATTTATTTATTTATGTTAATTCTCACCCAAGACTATTTTTCCATTGATTTTTAGAGAGAGTGGAAGAGAGGGGAAGAGACAGAGAGAAACATCAATGTGAGAGAAACATATCAATTGGTTGGCTCACACACATGCCCCAATTAGGGCCAGGGATTGAGCCTGCAACCGAGGTATATGCCTTTGATCAGAAATAACCTGGGACCCTCCAGTCTATAGGTCAATGCTCTATTCACTGAGCCAAACCAGCCAGGGCAGGGACCCTTTTTAAAACCTCTAAGCATTTGACATTTTTCTCCTATTTTCTCCCCATTTTCCAGCAGCCCATTCTTAGAGCACACTCATTCATATTCATTCATGCCACTAGTAATTACTGAGCTCCTGCAGTAATTTGTTGCCACCATTCCAGGTGTGGAGATACAGTGGTGAGAGAGACCAAATCCTTGCTCTTGTGACACTTACGTTCCACGCACCCAGCAAGAGGAGATAAGTGCTCTGAAGATAAAGGAAGCAGAAGAAAGAGATAGTGTGATGGCCAGTGCTACTTTAGATAGACTGATCCTAGAAGGCCGCTCTGAGAGCTACCACAGAAGGTGTCTCAGGGAAGTGTGTTCCATCAGAGGAACAGCAAGCGTAAGGTGCTCTGAGATAGAGACCTACTGGTGTATTCAGGACAACCTAGGCCTCGAGTGAGGTAGACCAGGAGACAAATAGAAAAAAATGGGGCCAGGGAAGAAAAGAGAGGAAGGGCATGCGGGCTCAAAGGACGGGGAATTGTATTCTAAGTAGAAGCTCCTGCAGGATTTTGAGCAAGTGAAATATGATCCAACTTAACATTCTGTGTGGCTGCTCTGTGAAGTCACTAGGAGCACAAGAAGAGACAAATGGGAGACCTAAGGAAATAATCCTGGCAGGAAATGATGGTCTTGGCTGACAACCGTCTCTAAAATAGTCCTCCCTTCTCATTCCCCATTCACTCTCTATACTCTTTTCCTGTTTTATTTTAATTCCTGGATCTTACTGCCACCTGGCACATCATCTATTCATTTATCTATTATTTGATTTCCTCCAAAGAGCATACGCTTCATGAAAGGAAGAACTTTGCCTGCTTTGCTCCCAACGATGTCCCATTTTACAGTGGTAGATGGTCAACAACTAGATCTTGAATAGCAGAGTCACTAGAAGTTTTACTAGTTTTGTACTTTTATTAAGTAAAGGATAAGATTTTTCACTTCAGAAAAATAAATATGATAGTTGAAACCAAATAACATCAGGATATAATTAAATTTGGCACTTTAATTTTAAAATACATGTAGCCAAATTTTTTTAAAGTTTGTCCTATATCTAAGAAATCTTTTTAATTTAGAAAAAAACAGTGATACGTGAAAAATCTATGATGTCAGATATTGCCTGTGTTTTTCAAAGAAGTTATTTTGACACTTGAAATAAGCACGTAGTTCATTTTTTTCACACACTACAGACAGCCTCAACATCAATTTAATTTTATCCTCTAGTCCTAGCATCAGGGGATGTTGATTTTTGTTTTCAATAAACCTTAGAGTATATTTAATAGAATAGGGATACATAATTCTGGAGTCTTAACCTAATTATAGGTTCTCGAACATCAAGGAGAAGAAAAAATGCAGGCTTTGGAGAGAGAGAAGCAGCTTATATGTGGCTATTGTGCCTTGAGCAAATTGCACCCTCCCCTAGCACCCCGCCAGTTGCTCTGCACAGGCCAATGAGAGGGTTAGTTAGACATGAGGCATCGGAATCAATAGCATAACACCTGCACCTTAGAGTCTAGACAAATTACCGTGATAATGGACCTTGTGAATTAAGTCACTCCTCAGACTTCCTTCTTTGCAACTGACAACCACAAACTTATATTAAATGTAATTATATTTTCCTTACCATTGAAACCAGGATATATTAATATAATCTGAAAACAATTATTATGTAATTCTAAAGGACAAATAATCAAAATCCTCAAAATTGTGTACATAGAAGTTTCATTATAATCCTAAAAATAGTAGTCTAGCTACAACCAATGAGTAAAAGATTTAAAGCTGTTAAGTGAACTTTGGAAACAAACATAACTCATGCTCTTCTACTTTGCCTCCTGCGTTTTGGCAGATCACCAGGTTGCCTTCTCCTGCATGTCTCAGGATTCCTGTGAAATCATTAGAAGTTGTACAGGGGCATATGGGGAGAGCTTGGCCTTGAGTGTTCTTATGACAAAGGGTAAGAGTTTTTTAACTTGACTTTGCTTTAGAATCATTAACAATGGCACTTGCAACTTCTGAAGTTTGCTTATAAAAGCATTATTAAGCATTTCACATGGATCTTTCAAATTTACATCTCAAGTTTTATCTATATGTTTATGTGCTCACAAAAGTATTCTAAGAAAGCCACAGAATACACTCGATCACTTGCAATTTACATAAACATCTATTTAAACATTTTTTTAAATAAAATCCCACTATTGGATACATTTATATGGGTAAATTTTATTTTGATATATGTTATAAGGAACTATCAATATAAACATCACAGTTAAAAAGCTTATTGATTCCCTCATTTTAGTAAAGCTCCCTTATGCATTGCTCAGATCATCACTATGGCAACCAATAAGGAAACAAAAGGTCAGCAACCCCGAAAATAGAATAATGCTGGAGAGAAGGCTACTGCTTTCAGGAATGTTTATTACACAAGGGTAATGATTCTTTTTCATGTGAATAAATTTACTGATACAAGTTAGTAAGAAAAAAAAGATTACTCAGCTAGAAAAACACTGGCAACACCATCCAGAAAGACCTCCCAAAACACTGAGCAATTTTTAAAGCAAACATTTGTAAAACAGTCTTCTAAGTCAAATGTTGATTGTCATCTTCATAGGAGATACATGAAGAAAAACTGTAGTCTACACTCCATGAGTCATGGTAGAAGGAGGCAATGGTGCAGTTAAGAAGACATTTTGATAAGTTACCTCTGATTAGCATATTAATTTTATGAGCAGGTTTTACATTTTTTATCATAAGGGAACACTTATTATTTGATCATTCCCAATTTTTGAGCTTGTCAATTGAGATGCATTCCCCATGGGGGGGGGGGGGGGGGG